ATTGCCCAAGAGTCTTTGGACAGAGTGTTGCTCTGTTTTCTTGAGTTTTTTTTTCTTTTAAGCTTTAACAGCCGAGAGCAACAAAGATTCACGGAGGAGCTTGGTGCTTTTAATGGCTGAAACACTATAGACCATTGGAAAAATTATTTATCCTCCGATTAAAGATAAGAGCCACAAGAATAACTCATGGAAAGATGTTTTCCGGCAGCACTAACCAACTGAACCATCAAAATAACACACGAAGAGGTGTTTTCTGTGGCTTAAACAACAATGGAACTGATGGAGTAAAATAGTTTATCCACCGGTCCGAGAGATGCTCCATTAAGATCAAGCTAATATCCAAGGGATAAAGCGAAATGGTAAGCATTTTCAGATCTATTTTCAGATCTATTTTGAGAACGAGGTTCAAGAGGAACCAAGAAAGCAACTTGCTCTGATACCATATTAGAATATATGAGAGTAAGCTCATATCAAGAAAGGAGACAATCAAGTTGTGATTGAATCCCCTTAATCCACACAAAGAGACTCGTTCTCAACAAGAATAGAGACAACCAACTTGTGGTTGAATCAACACAACGAACCCAAATAGAACCGAATTTACTAGAGCTCAATCCTGAAGAAAGCTTTGAGTACGCTGTTTGATATATATATAGGGGAGAAGCTCTAGTTTGAGACTAACCCGAGACTTAGTAACACAACACTGTGAGTTTGTGTACTTGAGAAGAAGAGTTTAGACTCATTAATCTAGAGTTAAGAATAACAGAATAAGATGAGTTTAGTGAGTATTTAGAAGTGTTTAGATTAGAAAGAGTGTAAGAAGATTGAAGTACTAAGGTTGTAACCGAGAGAGAATGGGTGATAAACTTGGTCTCTCTCTCTTGGTTCCAATGGGCAACACTTAAAACTGATTTAACTTCTTATTAATTCTCAAAGAGATTTTCCAGAAATCTTCATCTTTTCCAGTTCTGTTACAACATTTAAATAGACAAAACAGAGAGAGAAGAGCAACATCACAATCATATGTTGATTTAAAAACATGTGGCTCTCCTTTCATTGAGCCGTAAAGGTCATACGGAAATTCAAAAATGTGGCCTCCTTTCGTTGAGTTCCAC